AGAGAGTGAGTGTTGTTGTCGGTAAGGGAGAGTGAGTGTTGCTGAGAGTGAGAGAGAGTGCACAGGCGGAGGGAAAGTGAGAGAAAGAGAGAGAGAGTGCACAGACTGAGGGAAAGTGAGAGAGATAGAAAGAGAGAGAGGTTGAGAGAGAGAGTGTACTGAGAAGGAGGGAGTGCGCTTGTGTGTGTGAGTGAAAACAAGAGAGAATGAATGCGGCGCTACCTCCAGACCAGATCTGCGGTGAGAGAACGCTCAGGAGCGCACACAGGGGACCGTGAACTCCAAGTCACGAACAGGATTAGACATGCGGCAGTGGACAAAACGAGACAGCTTCCTGGACAACCTTCCCCTTCTGGGAAGGGCACACAACGAAAGACAATCAAGGCAGAGCCGCAAGCATCAATCAAAAGGGTAACACCAATTGACGCACAGGTGACTGATAATGCATCGGAGTCCAATCAAGCACCGTGGACTGATATCGGGCGGTAATCCAAAGTCTGGTTCTGTGCCCTAGCCAATGGACGAAGGGGAATTTTCCCCCCATCCCATCAAGGAGAAATGACGTGCAGATCATAGTGGCTTCCAAAAGAGCTGATTGGAAATTGGAGCTGTATTTGCCGTGAGATTCACTATTTGTTTCTTTTTGTCCTTCTTGAAATCCCATTTCCCGTCGGGGCTTGCTAAGGTAAGGCAGTCTACTGCCTGTTCCTTTCCCGTGGTGGCGATCAGATACACGCCACGCGAGCAAGCCTGTCCAGAGGAAAGTGGGAGGTCTAGGGAGAGGGGTCACGTGGATCTGAGAGTACGAGGCGGCAAGCCGAGAGAGAGGATGTACACGTGAGGGAGGAGTCACCCACTATGAAGGGGGATGGAAGATCTTCCTTCATTATGAGAAACAGAGTGACATCAAGAGCATTTGGTGTCCGAAAGATGGCAACCTGCAGGGCTCATGAGAAACAGGAATTTCACGGAAGTTTTGGACGTGATCTTAGTTAAATGTTCGAAAGTTTTCACACACAGTAGCAATTGACAATCGGTTTTCACACGCTTCAGGGGGACTTCAACGCAAAAGACTTCACCGTTCGGATTTTCAATGCATCAATATTTGGACATCATGGTTGGAGGCAAGACAACGACCACTCGCGTCTAAAAGCGGTAAATTGGGTTACCTGCTTATTACTCAGACAACAAAGGCAGAACTGGTCATATTGTGTACCTCCTTCAGAGATGAACCTGAGAATTACCAGGAGGGCATGTTTGATAGGCAGACACACTGTAAGTCTATCTCTGGTCAACAATTCTGTAAAGTTGTATGCACTTAACTCATAGCTGTTGAAGGGAGGTTTCTTCTCAAATTACACTCTACTCCTGCGAGGGTCGTGCATTGAAGGTATAACTCCTCAAGTTGAGAGTCTATCTGTGGCGATTAATCAAATTCCAGTTATGCCTCGGAGTTTGTAACAGATTCGAAATTACCCCCAGTAGTAAGGGGAGACTGCGAGTTAGTCACCGTCAATGGAAAATTTTGCGGATGCCCCCCCCTGCAGTTCCATCATATATCTAGACTGTATCCGATATTTGTGCGTATCTCAGATCTGTGGGTTTGAGCGGTCTTTTTATATTTTACTTTTATATTGACTGATTGTATGAACCTTCATACATAGCAGATAGAAAAAAAGCATGTGACAGGCAGAGCAAAACTCCATCATTCTGTTGGTTGCTGAAGACCTCTGAAGCGGGCACGGCGGGTGACAGACGCCGCAGCCCCTGGCTTCAGCGAACGAGTAGGCGCCCCTCCCCGAGTCTCCTCACATCGCGACGAACTCACCGCCCCTCTCTCTCTCTCTCTGTGGCTCACTCGTTTTGAGAAAAGAAACGGGAATGCATCTTCCCGCGACATTCCCGTTTCGTTTTTCAAAACAAGACTCTCTCTCTCTCTCTCTCTCTCTCTCTCTCTCTCTCTCTCTCTCCCCCCCCCCCCCCCCCCTCCGCGCGACTTCAACTTTTTGTCTGTTCGTTTTTTTTTTTCGTTTGTGTATTTGTTTTTTGTTTCCCTTCTTTCATTTTTTTTGTTTTCTCTAAGTGTGTCGTTCCTAGGGAAGCGGAGCCCGACGTTCGCGCAGCGACTGGGCCTTCCCTTGGCCGACCCCCCTAGGGCTGCGGCGCGTATAGGGAGTGCCCGCGGCCGATAGCTGAGCGAGGTACAGGTGGTTTAACGCTTTAGGGCATTTCAACAATCTAAATTCCGGAGATAAAAAATAATCAAACTAAAAGAGCAATCTCAATAACTAAGAGCTGGGAAGGGGCATGGACCTAGGGTTACCCTCTCAACCTCACTATCCAAAACGCTGTAAAGAGCCTTTGTTGCCTAGACGGTTTTCCCACCACGCACCCAATGAATACAATCTAGTTTGCTCTTCACCGGGTCTCTCATATCATCCCTACCCTGTGAGTATTACCCTAAGCTACTGCAAACTTATCGCAGCGCTTAGGAGTATCGAGAATTTGTGAATTGATGGCGCCGCCACCCTTAGGGCTTCAAGGCCTTTCAACACACCATATTCTGAAGATCTACAAAATATCAAACTAAAAGAGCAATCTCTATAACTAAGAGTTTGGAGTCCCAACTCTTAGTAACCCCACTCTTTTCCCAGGCATTTTCGTTAATTCGGGTCAGCCGGATTTTGACTTTTACTGGCAAAGATTTGGAGTCATTACCAAAAGGACAGAGACAGCATTTCAGATAACCATTCCTCTTGAACAACGTATAAGTTTGGGTTGATTACTACACGAACATAGTCCTCCCGAACTTCTACGCTCTTGGCTTTCAATTTCTCTGGAAGGAGACCTTCCATATAGCAAGCCGCGAGGATCCCCTTGATCCGATCTTTCTCTCCTTGATACATGGGAGAAGACCCTGAGGGATCGGGGGGAACAGGGGTCGCCATGGGGGGAGAGGTCAGGTTAGCCATCACAAAGGGTAACAATCAGCACGAAACAATTCCATCAAAACAAAAAATTACGAATCTCACCTAAATGCATATAGTTCCTATAACCTCAATAAATAGGGATAAGAGGGGTAAGACGACGTCCCCGGAGTGAGGAAGGAGAAGATTACCCACGCCTTGCTGGGTGAAGATAGCACCGCTTCCTTGCGTAGTTAAAATCGGCCTCAAAAACTTTGAGCTTACGGTAAAACCACCTACGAAGTCAACGTTCTCCCAATATCCCACTCCATCCTCCAGTGTGTCCTCCCCCCCCCTGACCGCCAAAGCCAGTTCAATTCTTCCTTACAGCTGCCATACTTAATCTTGGAATAGTAAAAGCGATCCCACTGGTTCACCACCCTTCCACCGTAGTTCCTTCACCTAACATGGGAAGGAGCTATGGGGAAAGCACTCGCCGAATGTATTCGAAGACAACCAGAGAGGGTCCGGGGGCGAGCGCTAATCATAACCCTAATCCACAATTAGCACTAGGCGCCGCCGACGTGGCGCTTAGGGCCATGGAATTAGCGCACGGATTAGCGCTGTCCCTGCGGCCCCGAGAAAAGATTTCGAATTCGAGAAAATATACAAAACGGAAAAAAAAAAGAAAAAAAAAAGGCTGGGCATTTGAATTTTGAATGCCGCAGGAGGTCTTGGGTTCGATCCCCCATGGGGGCGCCTGCTGTAGTGTCGTGATCTGGTGAAGCTGCAGCCTTCGACGGCGACCCGTTTGTCCCACGTGTCCTTTCGGTTGGGCAACAACAGGTTGAGCGGTATGACCGGAGGTAGGTACGTGCTGGTGTGAGGACGCCGTAAGGGCATATACTCGCACTACTGTAGGCCCTCGATATCGCAAAATTCCAAAATGAGCGGCCAGATCTAGTCCTTCCTTTACAAGGACTCAAACTGGCCGCTCATTTTGCGATTTTGGGAGTTCGAGGGCCTAGTGGTTTATGTGCCAAACTTGGCAGGCGAGCGGTTTACCTGCCAAAGCTGGCACGAGAGTGGTTTACTTGCCAAATTTGGCAGGAGAGTGGTTTACTTGCCTAATTTGGCAGGAGCGTGGTTTACCTGCCAAACTTGGCAGGCGAAAAACCCGTCAGAACTCTTGCGAGCTTTTTTCTCGGCCGCAACAGAGCGCCTCGTCGATGGCACACGAAACGAAAAATAAAACGAGTTCTATTCTCCTTCAGAGTGTGGAGAGTTCCGGGCTTCCTCGCGGTGTTTCGTGGAAGTTCGTCACTGTGACCCCCCCCCACAAAACGACTTCTTGGGCCTCGGTCCACTACTCACAACATGCACAAAAGAATGCCGTGTGTCTTTCGATGTTCTAGCGGGAGATCCTTTCTCAAATTGGACATTTGCCATTTGGCGAATTGTGCGGCAAGGCCGATCGGCGAGTTTTCAGGTCCACGGCTTGAGATCCCGCTCAAAAGACTTTCTTGCTTTTCTGTGAAAGTAAAATCGTGGCACAGTGAACGATACACGGAAGATCAGCATGGGTCCAACGAGAAATGGTCCAAATTAAAAAATGAAAATAAAAATAAAAATCGTGGCACCATTTTTCTGTGAAAGCGTACCCCTCCAACTCGCCACTGTTTCAAAAATTTTCACTCCCCAACCGGGGCCAGGGTCCCACTTGCACTGATTAAAAGATTCTGCCCGTTGATCTTCGTTATCTACGGTCAGTAGCTCTTAATTCGTGTAAGTGGGACCTACCCCCGGGGCCCGGTCCCACTTGCACGGATTAGGAGATTTCGGCCGTTGATCCTTGCTGTCTACGGTCAGTATCTCGTGCAAGTGGGACCTAGCCCCCGGATGCCGAGAAGTGCTTTGGTACCCTTGTATCCGACTGTCTGAGGCCTCATGGCAAACTCTCTTGGGCATAAATGGGGTACCCTCCATTTGAGAGTATTCAATCAACAGGGACGGCAGAACATTGTATCGTCGCAAGCAGTAGTTGTCAGAGCGCTTTGTGTCGAGGCTCCGACCCTATCAAAGGCGGCGCACGAGCGGCGGCGGGCCACTCACGGCGGGCCACTCACGAATAAAGGGGGATAGCAGGCGCAGCCTACTAAGGTGGCGGGTGGTGGTCGAGATGCGTACAGAATGAGCGGGGTCACAGCTACGTCGTTGCACTTCCCGCTGGACGTGCGCCTTTTCTCTCTTTTCCTTCGTGAACGTAGGTGAGCGGGACTGTTTTTAACGCATCAGCGCACGAGGTTCTTCTCCTTCCTTCTCTTGTTGAACTGAACGCTTCCCTGTGTGTGCTCTCATTAGCCGTGTTTCTCTCTCTCTCTCTCTCTCTCTCTCTCTCTCTCTCTCTCTCGTAGTTAATTAGTGTGATTGGCATCATCGTATATCTGTAGATTGGTGCAGATGTGAGGGACACGCCATATCCAGAAACTAGGTCGAAAAATACAGTTCGTTTTTTTATTCGAGATCTGTGCGTTGCTTCCGCTATTCTCGGAGACCAAGGCGGGGTCATTAAGCTGGCGTACCCGATCTACATGTAAAGTGAGTCGATTTGCTGAGTGATCGTTGAGGAGATTGATCGGACCGGCTCGCCGGAGTCCTGTTTGATCAAACGGGAACTCCATGATGGCTGGTAATCTCGATGAAGACCGTGCCCCGTTCCATGGCCGAGGCCCAAAGAGTGGGCGAAAAGGTGTGAAGTGGTGTCTTATAGGGGCTTGCGTGATTGCCGTTGTCGTTGTGCTGATCGTCGGGGTTGCTGTCGGTGTCAGGAGGCACAACGGTAAGAAGGGCGGCAACGCGCAAAATTCTGCACTGACGGTTGGCGATGCGGTGAACAAGACGTGCTCAGGGGCCGATGACGTCGATCTGTGTGTGCAAACCCTACTTTCCAGCTTCAACCAAAGCCACGTGAGCATTAACGGCACAGTGGACTTGATGACGTTAGCTTCCTTCCCTCGCAGGCTTCTGAATGCTACCCGTTCGCAAATGACCGTCGTGCAGCAGGGGATTGACGAGCTAGTCTTGAGCGCGCGCAACACCTCGTGGGAGCGTGCTGCTCGCGCCTGCAACGCCAGCTTGTACGACAGCCTCCCCATGCTTGAAGAAATCGCCAGTGCGACGGACCAGAAGAACTACGACGCCGCCAAAGAAGGGCTTGCTGCGTTGAGAACGGAGACGGCGGATTGTGCGGAGGCGCTCTTCGAGGCGTTGAATCTCCCGCTTAACGTTTCCAGCTCGCCGGACTCCGTCAATGCGTCATTTACCACGGCGGACGGGTTGTTCTCCGGAAGCCTCGGGGCGACGCTGTACAACTCCACGGTGGCGTTTTCGTTCCATTTGTCGAACGCTTTGACAGTGATAACAAACGCGGACCAAGGTGCGGGAGCGTTCGCGGGGAGGCGGAGGCTTTACCGAAGGAGACTCCTTGCGCAGGCTGAAGTCGATCGCAACGTGGAACCAAACTATGTTGTCAGTGCGAACGGCGATGCGGAGTTCAAGAAGGTTCAGGAGGCAGTTAATGCGGCAGTAAATCTTCGGTATCGGAAACCAGACGGGCGGATCGTGATCAAGATCATGGCAGGCGAGTACAGGGAGAAGGTTCTCGTTCCGAAGGACCTCTGGGGGCTGACGGTCATCGGCGACGGAGCGACTAGGACCACGATTGTGTGGGACGATTACACGAATCCAATGAACACAACCGGGCTGCGCACAAGGGAGACGTCCACCTTCGCCGTGGAGGGGCGCGGATTTCTTGCTTTGGACTTGACCTTCAAGAATGACGCCGGCCAGAGCGAAACCGTGCACCAGGCTGTCGCTCTCCGTGCGACTCTCCGCAGTCTGAGCAAGGGGGAGAACGCTATGGGAGACGGGCTGGCGGCTTTCGTAGGCTGCTATTTCCTTGCAAACCAAGACACCTTGTATTCGCACAGCGGCTGGCAGTACTACTACCAGTGCCGTATCGATGGAACGGTCGACTACGTCTTCGGCAACGCTGCGGCGGTGTATCAGGAATGCGAGCTGAACAGCATCCGTACAGTCGGGCAAAACACTGTCACCGCGCAAGGACGAACGAGCGAGAGCGAGCCAACTGGGTTCGTATTCCGGGGTTGCAGCGTGGACAAGGATAGTGCCGACCAGCACGTGTTCATGGGTCAAAACCATCCTTATCGCTTCGTGTATCTGGGCCGTCCATGGAAGCCGTTCTCTCGGGTCGTCTTCATGTTCTGCGAGTTGGGCGGCATCGATCCCAAGGGATGGCTGATCTGGACGACGGTGGGCAGGGGCTCGGATAATCACGAGACGGCACAGTACTACGAGTACAAGAACCGCGGGCCCGGTGCTGCCACAGAGCAGCGCGTCGCGTGGAGCCGTCTTTTGTCGGACGAGGAGGCGGAGGACTACACGGTGGAGAAGTTCATCCATGGAGATGAATGGCTCGTTCAGGTCGGTGTACCGGCCAAGATATGGGGGTGATTCCGACGAAGGGTTATATGAGTGTCGTGACGTTCTGTCAAGCACATGGCAGGTCACCACCACCACTTGAAGGCCACTCGCCCACCTACCTTAAAACTTTTCTTTTGATGCCAGCTACTTGCTGAATCCGTTGTTTAGTGTCAGTTAGTGCGCGCTGTGCAATGTATAGGGATCGAATCGTGGGGTTGTTCATTCTTTGGGAGAATTTAGTCACGGATACTCGTCCTTTACCCACCGCGCATCGGGGTGTATGCCCTCTGGGCATTTCTCTCTTCCAGTAGCGAAATCGATCGCTAACGGAGCAGATTTTTCCTCTCGATGTCGGCGCCGCACGGCTTGGAGAGCCGTTGTCGGCCTTTTCTGTTGGTAGTCCATTTCTACGTCGCCTACGGTTATCGATGAACGAGTTCGGTTATCTCCTTAATTCTCTGTACGTGGCAGAACGACCGACTCTTTGCCGGTAATCGAGATCCACGGTGATTACCTTCACTTATCTTTCTTCTGGTTGTTTTTTGCTCATGATTTTTCTTCAGAAGTACGCGACTTCTTTAGACGTACTCAACCGCAGATCTCGAGTTATCGAGGTATTCGCGGGACTCTGGACCCGGTATCCAGCAAGTGGATATGTCCACGAATAGATCGAAGAGGAGACTCTATTGGGGGCAATGGGAGGGGAGACGAGGCCAGGTCCTTCCTCCAATGGTGATCTAGCATATGATTTTATCCGAGGTGAGGGGGGGGTGAGGGGGGGCTTGGGTAACGAAATTGCGATCGAACGTACCTCCAGAAAGGGCCTAAAAACTGTGTTTCATTCATCCTCGATTGGCCGATTTGATCGCCGACTCGGGTACAAACCTCGGCCTCGGGATTTTATCGCCGACGCGCATCAGTAGTTTTTGTTCATTTTTTAGGTCTCATTTGAGGCAGATTGCAGCTAGGGTTGTGTGTCGAGGATACAGGTCCTTTTATTATTTATGATAAAGATTGATTCTTTCCACTGTGCGATCGTCCTTGAATCAGAAGTTTTGGTAACTCGTTCGGCAGCGGCCTGCCACTGCGGACACCCGCACGCAGGGCATTCAGTTTGATCATGCATCGCGTACTAGCAGCCCGCTATTGTTCTGTGAATCTGTGGAGACGCGGTTATCTGCTCTTGTTGGTGAACATTGCGCCTCGTGTTGTGAGATGTCCACTATAGCTTCAATCGTCTATCTTTCGGTGGCAGAGTGACCTATGCGGAGACGGACGGAAGATAGGCAGTTAACAAACACGCTCAAGGTAACAGAATTTGTTTACAGCGGGCTGATTCGATGTCAATCTTTTTAGCAATAAACTTGGTCTACTTCGTATTCGTCTGTTCGAGTTCCAAAGCCGGTTGTAGAGGCAGGTATAGACAGTTCGGTAACCTCGATTGTTGGTCGGCATTTTAAGTCACGCCGGCCTGGGCGAGGGATGTGAAATGGAATGAAAAATGCCATTTGTTACTTGCAGAGATGTATCCCTTCAGGTTATGGGTGCCAATTTATCATCGTGATTTCCGTATTTTGCGGTCCAGGCCCCATGTTACACGGCTGAAATCGACCGAGTGAAATAAACCCTGTTCAGTTGCCGAGGATGGTGATGTGTTTTTCTTTTATTGGTATGTATGTGTGTGTGTGTGTGTGTGAGAGAGAAAAAAGAGAAAGAGAGAGAAAGGGAGAGAGAGAGAGAGAGACAGATATAGATAGACACAGAGAGAGAGAGAGAGAGAGAGAGAGAGAGAGAGAGAGAGAGAGAGAGACAGAGAGTGAGAGAGACTTGAAGGCGTGCCCTGAGTACCCATAGCTGGGTGTTCATTTCGAGTAGTCTCTTCTCTCTTCTGGAGATAGCTCTGTTGAAATACAGACCTGGGGCCTCGTCCAACATCCACCGTTGATTAGTCTAGATCATTGTTGTACCGTGGTCACTGCGAATTAGACAATAAAACGAACACTGCTTAAAGCCGTTATTCATGTAAAATGGCGGTTCAAAATATCCCGGAGTAAAATAAAATAAAAATTGAATCATGTACTACGTGACTGGGACCTCAAATGCCGTGAGACGTCTGTGCACACGCTACATTGCCCGCTCGAAAGGTGGATGTCGAAATACACTCCATCAGCACGCGCTCAGAGTGTCCTCCCATTAGGGGCTATGTACCACCTACACCGTAGAACTCGCAACACGTTGAGCTTTTAATCATCATGATGACGTTGTGTGACTGCTACCATAGGAGAGAAAGGTGTGCATCCATCCGTGGCTTTTCAGGAAAGCATTTTCAATTCTCTTTCCATCTACGAAAATTAACATAGATTCGGCAATTCTCGAGTAGAATGTTCGCTATCCTCCCCCACCCGCGGGGGCCACTTTTGTGTGTGTAGTGTGTGTGTGTGTGTGTGTGTGTGTGTGAGAGAGAGAGAGAGAGAGAGAGAGAGAGAGAGAGAGAGAGAGAGAGAGAGAGAGAGAGAGGGCAGGTAGGTCTCCAACGTCGCGGCTGGCCTCATGGTACTTCCATAGATAGGATGAACAAAATCGAATGAATCTACCTATAGAACATGGAAATATACATTGCCACAGTAGTTTTTCTGTGGCGCCGCGCGCGCTACAGAAAAACGAGTGTGGCATTGTATATTTCCATGTTGGCGCGCGTGTGTGTGTCGTGGTGGGGGTGCGGCCCGTCGGCCACCAATCGATCAATCAATTAGTCTAGATTGTTTTTTTTTTTTTTTACTCTTAACCCACCCCCTCCCGATATTCATTCGTTTTCTTTTATTTTTGTTTCTTTGAGGTGGTGGGGTTGGCGTCGCGCAGCCCCAATCACCACCCAAACCCTCCCCCGCCCCCCCACACTGGCTGCCACGCGGCCGCATATTCGCGCGGTCGTCGTGGACCCGGCCTTGGCTGCGCATGGCCGCCTCCCAGGGAGGGTATTCGCTGTTCCAGGGAACTGACTCACGACCAGATCCCACTAGCCCCTATTGTTCAGTTCTGACCGTTGATCTTCGTAATCGAGGGTGAAAAGAAAAATGAATAATCCAGGCAGATCCCACTACCCTGGATTATTCATTTTTCACCCACTCTGAGTGGGGTAGCTGGTTCTATGGAGGGAATAATGTCTGTCTAGCTAGCTGCCCTACCTACAGTAGGGCGTCTACCGTCTTTCCCCGAACACAACGGCCCCCCATTCTGACTGTATCTGGCCGGAAACGTACCTTCTATGCTTTCCTTTTCAGGGTGCGTTATGTTCTGTGGAGGACGGTAGGGGATCGGAAAAAAAAAAATAAAAGAACCAACTGCGGGATCGGTCCTCAAGGCACAGAATAATATAGAGCCTGCGAGCGGGCTTAAGGAATTAGCCTTAAAAAAAAAAGAAGGGATACTATCCCATAGTGTAACGGGGATTCGAGCCCGGCCAACCAACGGTTCAGCCCGAGCCTCTGAAGTTCTTTTTTTTTTTTTTTTTTTTAACCAAAACGATAAAGCATGCAAGAAAATGTTTCCTTGATTTCATAATTTCAAGGCACAAGAAAATCTAGGGAGTTGAAAGGTAACCACTACCGTCTTCCCCCGAACACAACGCACCCTGATTACGGCTGTACCGAACTGGAAATTTAGCTTGTATACATTCATTTTTAGGGTCCGTTATGTTCGGTGGGAAAGAAGCTAGTGCCTTGAAAGTTTGATCCTTTCCCTGGAGAAGCGTGTTCGGCATATTACAATTGTTGTTTGTTTATTTTTTTTTGTCCCTACTCTCTTTTTTTGTTTTTGTTTTTTTCGTTTTGTCGGTTGGTTGATGGACTGATCGATTGGTCATATTGAATAATTATTTGAGCGAAAAGAGAGCACATGAAAACAGACTTCATATCAGTGTCTGAGACTTTCCCTCTCTTCTCTCTCTCTCTCTCTCTCTCTCTCACACACACATACACACACACACACACACACACGTGGCCCCAGAGTTTGAATCCAGGAGGAAATAGATGGGTGAAATTCTAGGCTACCAGAGTGGCCCTGGGTCACTTGCCCGGCCGGGCCAAAATAATTAAAAAAATAGAACTTATAAAATTATTTTTGGAATGTATTTTTATTTTAAATTTGGCAAAGAATTTCGATGTTACGCTGAGGCAAAAGTTGTTGAGTTTATTTTTCTGCGTAACATAGTTTTTTATTGGGGAGCTTTTGTTTTTGTCTTTTTTTTGTATTTGTTTTGGCTGGCTCCGTCCTTGGTCCTTGCACGGGCTGGCCACCCGGGACCCAGGCGGCCCGGCTCGTAGCGTAGTCACTGAAATATAATATTTGTTGTGAATTGGGCAGGCCTGTGAGTTCGACGATGATAGCTCAAGGTCGTCGACCTTTACCAAAAAAACACACAAAAAAAAAAAAAAAAATTTAGACCATACTACATCGGTTGTATATGCCCGTGCCACATTCTGTCCCAAAATTCTATCGGAATCATACACCCGGTGACCCGGACTAGAAGATGTGGTGGGTAGTGGGTCCGCCCAACGTTTGTGCCAGTGTGGCAGCATGCATCACTGAAGATTGTGATCACTAACGCCTTTTTTATTTTTATGTTTATTTTTTATTATTAACCCCTCTTTCCACTGTGGGAGCATGCATCACTGAAGATTCTGCTCATTAAACGCCTCCGCTTTCCACTGCACACTACTCTAAATGCATCTCGAGCTGGATATGGTCCCAAGACATTGATGATGTTGTTGGACCGGTGGGAATGAATCCAGTCCACAAAAGCGTCCCGACACGTGTCGAATGTTGACTAGTAGAGTGACGCCCTTAATGTGCCCTTCTCTCAACCCTATGGTAGCAGTAGCGGTGGGGAGTCTGGGGACCTTTCTCTGAAGGAGGGGTGTAGCAATTGTAGACCTCGGACGTTCACTGCTGTGGCGCGCATAATCATCCGGGGCCAAGTCCCACTAGCAGCGTCGAGCTGCCTCAACGCCTGAATCTGGACGTGTTTGTGGATAAGTGCAGTTCAGGAAACTCAACACCATTTCTGCACATCTCCGCAAAAGCGTCCGGATTCAGGCGTTGAGGTAACTCAAAGCTGCTAGTGGGACTTCGCCCCCGGTCTGTGCACGATTGATTGGTGGTAGTCGAAAGAGTGCGTATGCTCTTTCCCACGGTGATCTTGGACGAATAGTCCATGGTGAGGGGAATATTAGTGCTAGGCTTGTCCTGAGCTGGGCCCTTTCTTTCAAAAAAAAAAAAAAAAAAAAAAAAAAGAACCCAGGCAGCCCATCAGTCAATAAGTTAAAAATTGCTGAAAGAACCTGAGCCTTCCGTTAGAAGCCAAGCAGTCCATCTGGAGGTAAATTGAAGATGCAAAAAATGCGTCTAGGTCCTTAGGCGGGGCTGTTTTCGACCAATGCCGCGAGTTGGCAGACGGCGAATCTGAGGTGGTACAGGTAGCAGCATGTGTGTGACAAAAGGTCAGGTATAGCAGCATGTGTGTGACAAAAGGTCAGGTAATGGAGATAGGGCCCATCATTTCAGTTTCTAGAGAGCAAAGCTGGGAAAGAAAAGCACAAGGAAAACAAACAGAGCCCCCATCATTTCAGTTTCTAGAGAGGAAAGCTGGGAAAGAAAAGCACAAGGAAATCAAACAGAGCCCTATACGTATAAGTGGCGTCTTGCTGGGCAGATACACTCAAGAGTGTTTTGCAGTGCAGCCCGGTGGGATGTGCTGCAGTTTCTCTAGTTCGCCCTGCTGAGCTGGCAGGATTCCCCCC